TGTAGATGGAGTTGGGTGGCAGGCGCAAGGCCTACCTGCTGGGTCGTGCGCTGGCACTACAGGTCATGTGGTCTCTATGGATCTTCCACTTCTCCAGCTGGGTGACTCCCTGATCCGTGCGCACTCGGCCAGGCTGGGGTTGGAGTTGGGCAGCAGTGGTGAGGCCGACCTGCTGGGTTGTGTGCCAGCACCTGCTTTCATATTTATAGCTATAATTTCTAAGTAGGGCTTTGTATATGGCATATATCTTCATTATATATTTCTTAGTTAATAAATTATTGTTTTCTTTTTCAGATCTGCAATACTCTTCCTTTTCTCTTTGATTATTTCCCAGGGATTCATAAGACATTATTTAAAAATATTGATAATATAAAAAGTTATATGATGGGGAAAATAAAAGAACACCAAGAATCTTTGGATGTTAACAATCCTCGTGACTTTATTGATTGTTTCCTTATCAAAATGGAGCAGGTAAGATTTTGGTAACAGCTCAGTCCTTTGGTTCCTTGAACATTAGGTAGTTTATTGAATAATTCTGGTTTACTAGGAAAGTTTCAATGGTCAGGCCAGTAATGTTTGACAAGCATTTTCAGTATCTATAGTGCACATAAAACTACACTAAACATTGTGGAAAATATATAATTAAATTGTTCAGTAATTAGAATGTAATCTACCAGAGAAGTAACAGATACACACTTCAGTCAGACAGAAAAAATTACAGAAAATTAGAACATACAAAATATCCTGTCATAATATGAATATGTACAAGTATTTTTTCCTCTTTTATATTTTCAAAAAATTTGAGTAAGAATTGTTTTTAATTCTTTTTAAAATTTTTGGTGAATTTCAACAGTGAAGTCATCTGGTCCTGGACCTTTCTTTTTCTTTTTGGAGTTTTTAGTTATTAATTCTTTACTTGTAGGTGTGTTCACATTTTGTATTTTAGCTTGAATCAGTTTTTGTAACTTTTTGTTTATAGAAAGCTTTCCATTTATCTAGATTATCTACTTTGTTGACATAGAATTGTTTATAGTATTTTTTATAATAGGATTATATTACTATTATAATAGAACTTAGAATAGCTTTAAGTTCCTAAAATCAGTAGTAATGTCCCTGCTTTCATTTTTGATTTATTTGTTCTTGTCTCCTCTTTTTTCATGTAGTCACTTTAGCTGTTTGTCAATGTTGTCAATCTTTTCAAAGGACCAGTATTTGGTGTCCTTAATTTTTCTAATGCTGTCTTCCTGTTTAAAAAATATCTTATTCATTCTGGTGGCTTTGAGTCTAGATTGCTGTTTTGTTTGTTAGTTTCTAGGTTGTATAGTTATGCTGTTGATTAGAGGTACAGTTGATATCTAGTATTGTTCAAATCTTGTATTTCCTTCTTGCTGTTTTGTCTAGATAGTCTATCCTTTATTAAAAATTGGGTATTCAAGTCTCCCACTATTTTTCTACAACTCTACTTCTTCTGTCAGTACTGTGCATTATTTGCTTTATATATTTTTGGGCTCTCTTGATTGATGCATATACATTTATAATGTTATGTCTTCTGGATTAATTCACCTGTTTTCCAATATAAAGTGTTTTTGCTTCTTTTAACAGTTTTTGTTTAACAACTCTCTGTTTGATATTAGTATAGCCATCCCAGTTCTTTTGTGGTATAATTCACATGCAAAATTTTTTTTCCATTTTTTCACCTTTAACTTTTTATCTCTTCAGATATGAAGTTAGTCTTGTATAGACAGTACATAGTTAATTTTTAAATCTTTCCTCTCAAGATGTGCATTTTAAGTGGTTATTTTAAGCCATGTACAGTTTAATTAGTTTTATTGAAACACTTATTTGAGCTATAATGTTTCTTTCTTTGTGCCTCATGTAATTTTGCTTTTTAATTTTCCAACATTGCTTTACATTTTGTTTGATCAATTTTTTTCTTGTAAACTATTTTGATTCATTCTTGATTTCTTTCTTTTCATATTTTACTTTTTTTAGTAGTTATAATGAGGCTTACTGTTTATATCCTAAATTTATGGCAATCTAATTTTAAGTAATAGTAAATTATGTTTAAATTATATACATTAACTCTGCTTCCATCCAACTCCATTCACCTTTTACGCTGTTGTTGTCACAAATCACATCTTTCTAAATTGTGTCCCAGTAACAGTTATATAATGATTGTTTAATTTATTTTTAAAAATCATAGAAAAACTAAAAAGAGGATCCCATACAAAAACATAAAATATGCTTTTATATTTACCTATGTACAGATATATTTAATATTTCATAATTAATAAGGATTTTTAGTTCTTACTATGGTTTTTATTTATTTTGTAGTGTCATTTTTTTTCAGCATGAAAGCTGAGTCCCTTTAGCATTTCTTGTAGGGCAGACCTACTTGGGGGGAATGTTTTTACCTTTGGTTTTGTATTGGAATGTCTTAATTTCTTCTTTATTATGTAAGGATAGGTTTGCCAGATACAGAATTCTTAGTTGACAGTTTTTTCTGTCAGCAATTTAAATGTATCATTCCAATAATTATTTGACTCCTTAGTTTCTGAAGAAAAAATCAATTCTTCTCTTATTAAGTATCCTTTGTATGTTATGAATCACTTCATTCTTGCTGCTTTCAACATTTTCTCTTTGTCCTTGATTTTGGACATTTTAATCAAATCATACCTTGTTATGAGACTCTTTGGTTTTACTATTTTGGGAATTTATTGAGCTTCCTAGTTGTGCAGATTCATGTCTTTCATCATATTCGGAAAGTGTTCAGCCTATATTTCTTCGGCTTTTTTTTTTGCCCCTTTTTCCCCTAATTTTTCAGGTGCTCCCATATGTGTATAATGGTACAAGTGATGGATTTTCATAAGTTCCTAAGGCATTGCTCATTTTTCTTTGTTCTTTTTTTTCCCCCCTGCTACTCCATCTGGGTAATTTATCTTGTCCTGTACTGTTTATTTCTTCTGCCTACTCAAACCTGCTGTTAAATCATTTTGATGAATTGCTTTTTAAACTATTGTCTTTTTGCTCCCAAATTTCATTTTCTTAAGTAATAATTTCTTTCCTATCTGTGATAACCCCCACTTTTTCATACATTGTTCTCCTGATTTCTTTTAGTTCTTTGTATATGGTTTCTTTCTACTCTTTTAGCATATTTACAACATATAACTTCCAGGTTTTACTTAGTAATTCTAATGCTGAGCTTCCACAGGAATGGTTTCTATCAAATTCTTTTCTTTAGCTATTAATGGGCCATATTCCTTGTTTATTTGTATGGTGTGTAACTTTTTTTTGAGAACTGGATTTAATATATTATAAAGTATTAACTCTGGAAATAAGATTTTCTCTCTTCTCTAACAATTGCCAGTATTACTTGATATTGTCTGCAGTCATACCTTTATTTAGTGACTTTCCCAATTAATTTAGCAAATTAATTTAGAGAGGTGGCAATGGAACATCAATATTTGCTGTCCTGTACCACCTTGAGATCATGCTTACCAAACTCTGGCATGGTGCTCCTCATTCACAACAGCTTGGCAAAAGTGGGGCCAGGTGTTGATTATATGTCATACAAAGGTGCCATAAAGTTTGGCAGCATTTACACGATGCTGACTCTGGAGACATGCAGAATGCACCAGCTGTGGAGCCCTGGCAGTCTCCATCTAGATTTCAAAAGATTTCATGGACAGTCTTTGCACCCAGGTAGAGACATATAGTAGGGGTGGAGCCACAGCAGAGACCCACTGCAAGAGCAATGTCTAGTGAAGCCATGTGAATGGAGCCACTCTCAATTCCACTACTTAGGACTGTAGGGCTACCAGGATGCCACTCTAGACTTGGAAATCTGCAAGTATGATAGTACAACCTCTGAGAGCTGATGGCACTGAGCCTGGCAATGAAATAGGAGTGGGGCTCCCTGAATTCTTCAGGGCTCTACCCTTGCCCAACTGTGCCCAGGATGTGAGATGTGGTGTTAAAGGAGATTACTCTCCAGCTTTAAAACCTAGTGCTGTTTTCCCTATTGGGCTTTGGACTTCCTTGGAAGTAGCTGACCCTTTTTTGTTGCCTGTTTCTCTTTTATAGAGTGGAAATGTTTATCCTATGTCTGTCCCTCCACTATATTTGGAAGCACATAACTTGTTAACTCTGTTGATTTAAAGCTGAAGAGGAATTTGCCTCTGGATGAATTGTGCCTTGTTTCTCATACACATGTGATATAGACAAATTGGGACTTGGGACTATGACTTTTGGACTGTTGGGATAGAATAAATATATTTTTCATTGTGAGAAGGGCATACATTGGGGTCCTGGCATGAAATGTTATAGTATAAATGTGTCCCACAAAGTTCATATTTGAAAACTTAATCCCCAAATGAACAGTGTTGGGAAGTGGAGCCTAATAAGTCAGTGGTGATCAATTCATGAGAGCTCTGTCCTCATAAATGGGTTGTTGTCATTACTGAGGGTGTGGGTTTGTTGTTAAAGTGAGTTCAACCTCATGTTGATGTCTCTCATTCTCATCCTCACTTCCTCTTTCACCTTCCACCATGTAATGATGCAGCACAAAGACCGTCACCAGAGGCGATCACCATGCTCTTCAATTTCCCAGCCTCCAGAAAAAATTAGAAATAAACTTATTTTATTACAATACATTACCCAGGTTGTGATTGTGTGTTACAGCAACACAAACAGATTAAGACAGTGTAACAACAGGCATCTGCTTATGTGTTTTTGAAAAAAAATACGCTGCATGGCAAACCTGGCTGAGAATAGTCTCATGAATTTAATTTTTTGGCAAGCAAGGAAGAAGGGGGTAGGAAATAAAGTTTGGGTCCACTGATCTACAGTATCTTCCATAGTGTATAGTAGTTTTTCCTGATACTGCACTCCCCAGTTTCTATGTATGCTAACTTTATAAAAAAAAGTGTGTTATTTTCAATTCACTATAATTAAATACTTTAATAAACAATTTGTCAGATAACGTATCAAATGATTTCTAGGAAAAGCACATCCAGCAGTCTGAATTTACTATTGAAAACTTGGTAACCACTGTACGTGATTTATTTGTTGCTGGCACAGAGACTACAAGCACCACCCTGAGATATGGACTCCTGCTCCTGCTGAAGCACCCAGAGGTCACAGGTATGAACACACTGATGAGCAGAGTGAAATTCAGCCACGATGTTGGGAAAACACTGTTAGTGTCCTCCATCCTGTTTCATTTAGAGAAGCTTCATTATTTGAACTCCTGTGCCAGCAGCTGCAATCTGCCCACATTTAAGTATGTTATTAAAATGGGACATCTTTGCAGAATATGGGAGGGTGACTGAGAGGAGTGAAGACTGCACTACAGTAGGAAAGGCAATAAAGCTCTGGTGCCATGTCTGGATTTGCTGGGAGATGGTGTGTGGCAGGATGAACTGGGATTACATATTGGTTTAATTATGTTAATACCACTTTGTACAGTAGATACATTCTTGCAGATACCTTTTCTTATTCTGAAAATTTGGTTTTGTAATGCTGGGGTAGGAAAAATGGAAACTCTCCTTACTGAAGCATAAGTGAAAGTCCTGGAAATTTAGTGAGACTGTCTGAGATCATTTTTAGTATGGGAAGTATGATAAAAAGTTAAGTTCATAAACAAGATATTTCTATTTAGGCTGAAGATATAGCTAAATGAAATTTATATTTCCAGAAGTTGATTTTCAAAAAAACTGGTATTTGACAAATTAAGAATGGGGGGTGGGAAATATCAGTCATTTTAACTTTCATGCATAGCTTTACTTTAAAAATTTACCTTCAAAGAATTCCAGTCATGCAGCTGGTAAAAACATACTTTTTCCTTCCTGTGTCAGGATCCCAATGAAATTGCAATAACCTGATTACCGATGAGGATTAGTCCTGTGAAAGTAGGAGGAGAAGAGTGCAGGAAAAAGCCAAGAAGTCTTCAGCAAGTTTCTGAAGCACAGAGAGCAGATCAAAGGGTGATAATTAACTCATCAGACAGGATGAAGTTGAAACCTAATTGTCAGAAGAGGAAGATAGATCAAGGAAGGAAAGCTAATCTGTCTCACTACATTCCCATACAGTTCCATATTTGGAAGCAGCAAGTGTTAGAGAAGGTGGAGAATGAGGCTCTTCCTGTCCAAGTTCCATCTGTGACTCCTTTTATCCCATAACTGATTTTTTCCTAGAGGAAAAGGGAGGCTCATTCTCTAAAGAAACTGAGCCTAAGAAGCCCTATACTCAGGGATACTGGGTAGTGAGAGAGAAACAGTGAGCTGTGGGCTGGAAAGGAAGGTTTGGTAAGAGTCCTGTGCTTGAGTTCAGAGACTTAAGTTTTCCCGTCATCTTCCTTCTGGAAATTCAGAAGCCAGACTTACCCTTCGAAGAGTGAATAGCTCTAGAGAAAAGATCTTAGTATTTTGCCATCTAAATTGAAAATTCTTGCCAAGTTTCCAGCACAGTGAGGGAAATAAAATTATGGTCTCTAAGACAGAGGCTCGTAGAATTTCAGAACACCAGGATTAAAGAAAATATCCTAAAAATTTTCAGTGAGATATGTCATGCATAAAGATTAGGATTCAGACAGCACCAGAATTCTCAAGAGTGACCACTGTCTTGCATTTTATTAATAAAGGTATTTTCAGACCTGCACATTTCTCCCAAATTTCACCTTCATTTTTACTTTTTCTAAAAATTCTGGAAGATGTGCTCCATCCATATGTCTGAAACCAAGTCAGAGGAAGTCATGGGCTGCAGGAATCAGGAGGCCTCATGTAGGAGGATGCGAATGTCAGGGAGGCTGCTGGGCACCAGGCCTAGAAAACACCCACCTCAGAACGGACCAGGTCGACAATGCAGGTGTGAGGACAGACACCAAGAACAAAGAAGTGATTAATTTTATGAGGTTTCCCAATAATTGGGAAATTGTTACCAGGAGTTTCAAACATCTTCCTGAGCACTTGGGAATAATTCTAACTTGGGAAATAGAAAATTATGAATTGAAATAAAAAGACAGTTTAAGTTCAATAAAATGCCATATATAATACATAATCACACTTGACTTACTAGGGAAGAGTATTTATGTAGTCAGAATGATGTAAACTATGAGCAAAACTTGTAGTCTACATATATTCTGGAAAATGGGGTGTGGGAAAGTGCAGGAGTGTGTGTGTGTGTCTGTGTGTTTGTGTATGTGTGAATATCTGTGGGTGTGGGTGTGAATATATAGGCTGGAGATAAAGATGAAAATTCTCAACTCACATAGAAGTAAATTGTTAAATATTGTCTAAAATGGTTAAGGAAGAAATACAGAGTCGTTCTTTCGAAATACGAGTATAAATTTCAGAAGAATGCTCAAAGCCGCCACATTTGGGAAGTGGGAAAATGAGGAGAGTGCCATTGCAAATTTTGTATACAAACATACACACACAGATGCAGACACACAAAAACATGTACATATATAGATCCATTACAATTTAATTTTAACCCCCATGTATTATTTTGATATTAATTTAATATTAATATTTGATTCTAATTTATTAATTTAATATTAATATTTGACATAACAATTGCAATATCTTGAAATTGATATGACAAGCAAACAGAAAGGACATTGTTGGGAGGGAGGGGGGAGAGGGAGGAAGGAGGGGGAGAGGGAGGAGGGAGGGAGGTTTAGGTAATTGGCCATAATAATCAACCAAATTATATATTGAAAAAAAAAATTTTTTTAAAAAAGTCAGTGATATGGGAAAAAATTTTTAATATTTGATTCTTGTTTTACTTTGTGCAAGACCATGATTTTTTAATTAATTGTTTCACCCTATTTTGGGGAACATTTTATTACTTCTTTTTAAAAATAATTATCATTTATGCTGATTTGTGGGTGTGTACCAATGTATCATAATACCTAATTGGTAGGACAGTGATACGTATCTACATGATGGCAGCTCTCTTTACATGTCTAGGTGTATATCTGGGCATATAACTCATGTTTATATTGCTGTTGGGACATGTTTATCATGCTTCATGGAGCTGGGAATTGCTATGGCAAATGTGCCATTTTTCTCCTTTTCTGTTGTTCTTACTTGTGTCTTATCAGCTAAAGTCCAGAAAGAGATTGACCATGTGGTTGGCAGACACCGGAGCCCCTGCATGCAGGACAGAATCCGCATGCCCTACACAGATGCCGTGGTGCATGAGATCCAGAGATACATTGACCTTGTCCCCAACAGTGTACCTCATGCCGTGACCTGTGACATTAAATTCAGAAACTACCTAATCCCTAAGGTAAGCTTGTTTCTCCTATGGCACAAATAGTGCTCTTGGAGCTCCCATATTGACAGTATGGCTCCAATCCTCTATCAGCCTGAGATGAGAGAGGGCAAAACTCATGTGTGGTAGGTTGATGGACTTTGTGCTGTTTACAGTTTGGGGTTCTAAAGCTTCATAACAGGTCATGGATTCTGGTAGTATGTGTCTTTCAAATTTGATCTGCCTGTTTAATAATGTATTGGCCATTCTTATGTTTTTACATTTCCACATAAATGTTGAAGGTTTCAGTCAATTTTACAATACTTGCTGCTGGAGTTTTTATAAGGGTGACATTAAATCTACAGATCAATTTGAAAAAAATAGACATCTTGACATTCTGAATCTTCCAATTCCTGATTGTGATTATGCTCCCAATTTATTTGGATTTCTTTTATTTACCCAGTAATTTTGTGTTTTCAGTACAGAGGTTTGCAAATATTGTTAGATTTCTCCTAGATAATTACTATTTTTGTTGTTATATTTTTTTTCGTTAAATTTTTATTTTGTCAATATACAATGTATATGATTATTATGGCCCATCACCGACACCTCCCTCTCTCCTCCCTCTCTTCCCTCCCCCCAAGAATGACCTTTCCGTTTGCTTGTTGTAACAACTTCAAAAAAGTATAGTTGTTATATCTTCTTCCCCCACTTCCATTTTTTTTGTGTGTGTATATGTGGGTGAATTAATTTGTTTATTTTTTAGCTCCCACCAATG